GCAGGGTCCGTACGCGGTTCCACCCCCCCCCCCCATTTCTGCATATTTGTCACACGTTTCGTAGCCCCAGAAGGAGTTCCACCGAAGGCCCCAGAGGCAATGTCCGTATGCGGCTCCACCCCCCCAATATCGGTGCACCTCTCACACGCTTCGTGGCCCCGTAGGGGGTTCCAACGAAGACCCTAGTGACAGGGTCCGCACACAGTTCCACCCCCCATCCCGGCGTACCCCTCACACGCTTCCTGGCTCCATAAGGGGGCTCCATCAAAGGCCTCAGTGGCAGGATCCGTATGCAGCTCCGCCCCCATCTCGGCGCACCCCTCAGACGATTCGCGGCCCCATGGGGAGCTCAACCGACGGCCCCAGTGGCAGGGTCCGTACGCTTTTCCACCCCCCCCTTTCGGAGCACCCCTCGTTTAATGTGGGGCCCTTCGCCAGGATAGTTCCCAATCATCCTGTGGTGCTGGGTCCTCGCTTTGAGGCCGCGTCCTCCCTCCTCCTCTCCCTCCCCCTTCCTCCCATCCGTGCCTCTGCCCTCCACATGCCAATTTCTGTACAGCTCTCACACTCTTCGCGGTCCCATAAGGAGTTCCAACTAAGGCCCAACAGTGGGCAGGGGTTCCGCATGCGGTCCCCCAGACGATTTCGGCACATCCCTCGCACGCTTCGTGGCCCCATAAGAACCTCGAATGAAGGCCCCAGGGGGGGAGTCGTCTGGATGAGTCGTGGGGCACCCTTGGGTTGGTCTCGAATTGTCTAGGGGTCGTCGTGAAGCGATCTTGGGGCCATCTCGGGGTCATCTTGGAGCCGTCTAAGGCCCTCCAGGTGCCTCTTGAAGCCGTGGGAAGTTGTTTTTCGGCAGCCCAGGGACTGTCCGAAAAGTCTGTAGATGCCAAGTTGCGCCCTCCAGAGTGGTTAGACACTCGTCTTTTTCACAAAAACTGCGCTTCCAGAGTCTCTACAGATTGGGAGCCTTTGAACGTCTTGGGGGCCACCGGACGACCGCAGGACACAGGAAGGCGTTGTGGGAGGCTTCCTACCCTCACGGGTGGCAGTGCAAAAGTATTTCCGACAAATGATGTGTCTCAGTATTTCTGGGCTCACGGGGCATTGGGGCCGTCCTCAGGGGCAAACGAGAAGTTTTGAGCCGCCTTGCGACGTCTCGGGACTCTCTGTGACGCGATTGGTTGGTGTCGTATTGGAGGGGTCCTGGCCCGAGTCGGGCCATCTCTGGCCTGTGTTGGAGTCGCACTGGGTGCGCAGGACTCTTCTTGTGGTATTGGAGCCACCTCGACTCGCCAGAAAGGAACTGCTACAATTGAGTGCAGGAAGGCGCAGAGAAAACGGTGGAGGCGGATGGACAGGTTCCCAGAGAGGGCTTCCCAGGGGCCCCCATCGCGGATCAGCTTGTCTTCCCCGCTCGCATCCTCATGGCACCATGTCCCGACGAACGTACACGTCGTTGGCCCGTTGGGCTGATGCGTTTCATGTTCTCCCTGGCCACCGCAGCTACGCACGGTCTGGAACGCGTGGTACTCCCTCGTCGTCCGCCAGGTCTCCAGGCACCCTGCGAGTCAGCGCGCTCGGTGCTGTGCTCAACACTGTGGACCAGGGGAGGTGTGGAAGGCTTGGACCGGGAGGAGGCCCTCGAGTCCATCGGGGTGGCATCCGAGCGCTTCAAGGCTGCCAGCCGGCTCTTCCAGCCAGGCGCGCGCAGCATCGTCGTCGGGACGATCAGAGGTCGTCGAGTAGGAAGCGAGGCAGGTGATGGAGTTGTTGAAAGGCAGAAGTTCGCTGGGGGAGGGATGGAATGCACGTCTGCTGGAAGATGCGCAAGCTGAAGACGCAGAAGCTGTGGGGGCCGCGCATTGCCGTCAGTAGTCTGCGGGTGTCTTTCTTTTCGCGTTTGCCGCCCCTCCTCCCACCCAGTCGGCGCCTGGTCCAGAGCAGGTGGGCGCGCGTAGCGTGAGTAGGTGGGTGCGTGCAGCGGGTATAGCAGCGGGGGGCCAGTCTCTTCGGCCTTCTGCGGGCACATGTAGCCAGAACGGGCGATGCAGCACTATTTGCTGGCCGCCCCCAGAGCCCGCGGGGCCCAGGAGCAACCAGGGGGGCCTCCCCGAGCTCACACAAGAAGGACAGCCTGCAAACAGGCCCTCAATATCAGGCGATCGCAAACATGGATTAAGGGTGCGTGGATTAGCGACGGGTCCTGTTTCCATGGGAAATCGCGGATTTCCGCCGCCGAACGAGGCGGCACTTGCCGCATTGTGGGGAGGGCACCTCCCCCGATCCATGGATCCATGGATCGCGAATCCATGTTTGCGCGCCCCCGACACTAGCAGATCATGGTCATTATTTGTGAGATTCGACATGGATGCGAAAGGGGGGACTCATGGAGCGATCAATGTCCACGGCACGGCACGACACACACCGCACGGCATTTCGTGACACGACACGCAGCGCACGGCAGGCACGACACGGCAGTTTATGAGCAGCGCATTGCGAACGGCATTGCATGGCATTCCACGGCACACGATTGCATTTGAGGTTTTCGGTCGGTTCGGTATGACAAGCATTGCATGGCACGAGCAGCATGGACCGCATGAGGAAGCGGTGTGTCCATATGCTCTGCTGGTGCTCGAAATGGTGGCAGCACTTGGCGTGGTTGCAGCACCGACATAAAAAACTTACACTGCATGGGGAACTGCTCGTCTGTCGCCAGAGGTGTCCCTGGCCCAAGGCGCTCCCAGGGCTTCCAAGGGAGCCCCCAAGGCCTGGCTGATGATATATGCGGTAGGCGTCCTTTGGCCTTGCCGCATGCTCCCCGGGCTTTGCCCGGGGCGCGCTGGGTCCACCTGCTCAGAGGCCGCCGCGGCAGTGCCTGAGCCTCAGCCCGAAGACCCCCAAGGCCTCAGGAGCACACCCCTCACGAGGCCCAGAGGGCCCCGGGGGCTCCCACGCGGCGCGACAAGGCGAGGCCACCCCCCGGGCCGGGGCTGTGTCCCCCGAGCTGGGCTTCCTTCCGGCGCCCTGGGCCGAGACACCCCCCCGAGGCCCAGAAGGCCCCAGCGGCTCCCAAGCGGCGCGACAGGCCGCGGCCGCCCTGGGCCGGGCGGGCACGCCCCGAGCTGGCCCTTCCCTTTGGGGGGGCCGCGCGCGGAGGGCCCGCGCCGCCCGGCGTCTGCACCCGCCGGGTGCCGCCGCCCGCCACGGGCAGGTGGCTTCCGCCTGGGCCCCGACCCGCGGACGCCGGCGTCCCGCGCAGGCGGGGAAGCGTGCGCCGGGGGGCGGAGGGGGGGGACAAAAAGATGCGGATACGTGTTGTCCCCCTTCGTTTTCGGCCTTTCCTGGTCCTCCTGGGGAATCCTCGTTGTCACCGCTGGATTCGCCTCGAAATTCTGGTCAGAACGCACCCCAAGAGAGGTCCGGGGACAACACGTATCCGTATCTTTCCGCCCTCCAACGGAGGGGGCAGCAGGGGCGCCAGAAGGCCCGAGGGCATCGCCTCGACCAGGCAGTCGGCGGATGTGCGGGAGGGAGGGAGGGAGGGAGAGCGGGAAGGGGGATGGGCAGAGTGGCCACCACGAAAGGATGCAGGAAGGCTGAGCAAGGTGAGGAAGCACGATGCTGCACCGAGGATGGGAAGGGCAGCAGGGGTGTATGTCCGCGGCAGGTGCACCGTTTCTGCGAGCCGCGCGGGTAACGTGCGACATCGTGCCTGTTTCTTGGGCATTCCGTCGTATTGACAGTTGTTTGTGGCGTTGCCCCTCGGACATCGCAAGCATCCAGATCGCAAGAAGTATCTCCGTTGGGGTTAGAGAGAAGGCTTGAGGACACGGTAGGGTGAGCATAGGCTGGTTGAGCAGGCGGTAGTAAATGTTGAGCTGCTCATTGTTAGTGAAGCTAAGATGAAGGATGGAGTACTTGAGGGAAGGACGGCAACGGCGGTGGGCGGTAACAGAAGGCGAAGGGCAGGGCGGGGAAACAGAATCCTCGCCAGGACGACCCGACACCAGTGATCATGGGATCGACAGAGGTAGGGAGACAGACAGTGCGAGAGTGCAGCCGACGCACAAGGCATGAGTTGCGATCCCAGCAGGTGCTCGCTGGAAGTGTCTTCGCGTGCAGGCTGATAATGCGACGTTCGCTGCGCATCCAAGCTCAGGCGCCTCGCCCGCACCCTCGGCTGCAGGAAGCGAGCCTCGCGTGGCAACACTGCTGGCCGTGGGAGCTCGAAGCGGGCTCGGCCCGTCAGACCGCTGAACACGCTCGCCTCCGCTGCGCCAAGACAGAGCGAAGCCAAAGGGCGCCCATTCTGATTCGAAGACCTGGCCCGACTCTTCTCGCCGGGTCGTCTCGTGCCCCCGACGCGGGCCGCAGGGTGCCTGCGCTGGAGCAGACCAGCGGTGCCCACCGAGGCCCAGCAGGAGGGCCGCCTCCCAGGCCGGGACGGGCCCAGACGTCCAGCTGCTCCAATGTTTTGGATGCGTGGGCCCCAGAGGTCCGGACCACTTCTCCAGGGCCGGTCTTTCGTCCTGAGCCGTTTTTTGACGCTCCCGAAGCCCGGCGAGGGCCCCGAGAGGCCGAAAACGGTCAAAAACCGCCCGCTCCAATTTTTGTTGCATCGTCGGGTCTCGGGGTCGCCGACTGCGTCCCGCACCTGCCGTCGGCTGGCCGCGTCCGCGGCGGAGTCGCGGCAGGCATCCTGAAGGCCTTGCGGGGCGTTGCTGGCCAGGCGGGTCAGGGCCGGTAGGGTGCTGGTGCGGGCGCCGCCGAAGGCACTGGTCGGAAAGGCTGTGTGGGTTGTACGCAGGCAGCCCGCGAGAGTAGCCCAGGTTGGCCTCAGCAGGCCCCGCCAGAATCGTCCGAGGCGGTCTCAACAGCCCAAGTTGGACGTCTCACCTCCGCGGGCCACCCGCGCGAAGCCCAAGGCCCGACTCCCGTCTCTTTCGGTGACGCCTGCCAAGAAGGACCGACCGAGAAAGTTGCGAGGCGACGTCCTCACGGTCCGCGACGGCGTTGGGCCTGCAAGGTTCAGTTGTGCGGGATTCCTCCCCCGCCGCCGACAGGGCTAGGATCGGGATAAATCGCTCCAGAGCGTTCCGGAACGCTCTGGAGCGGCCGCGGCGCCCAATACATCCTCCAAAGCCGCCGATTCTCAGAGATTTCGAGTTATCCCGATCCGATTGCGCGGAGCGGTGCTGGCGCCTGCCCCTCCTCCTCCCCCTCCTCCTCCTTCTCCTCCTCCTCCTCCTCTTCCTCCTCCTCCTCCTCCTCCTCCTCCTCCTCCTCCTCCTCCTCCTCCTCCTCCTCCTCCTCCTCTGTCCTGCCGGGGGCGCCCGCCGCGCGGTCCGGGGGAGGCGTCGGCGGCAGGCGCACGCCGGACGGCGACCCCTTCGGCAGCGCGTGGAGGCACGGCCAGCCCCGCGACGACGACGACGCCGCCGCCGCCGCCGACGACGACGACGACGCCGACGACGACGACGACGCCGACGACGACGACGACGACGACGACGACGACGCCGACGACGCCGACACCGACACCGACGACGCCGACGACGCCGACGACGCCGACGACGACGGCGTCGGCCACGGCGACGACGGCGACGGCGACGGCGACGGCGACGGCGATTGCGGCGGCGGCGACGTCGGCGACAACGACGACGATGCCGGCGCCGACGCCGACTGCGGCGACGGCACCTGACGGTGTCAGCGACGGCGTTGGAGGGGCGGCCGCGGCGGCGGAGGCCAGGGATGCACCAAAAAGATGCTGCAAGACGCCGTGCTGTCCTCCTCCTCCCTCCCCCCTCCTCCCTCCTCCCTCCTCCCTCCTCTGAACCCATTCTTCAGAAGTCGTTGTTCGCAGTGTGTTTCTCTGCTGCAGGCGCCCCCCTGAAGGGCTGGCGCCCCATAGGGCCGGCCATTTACGCGAGGGTCTTTTGTGTTGACGGACTCGCCTTCCGCTTCACATACCAGGAGCGCCTTGAAAGATCATCAGACAGCCGCTGGCCGCATCCAGTCCGCTTTGAAAAAGAGCCGCCCTCCACGCTTGCGACTGGCGCACAACATTCAGGAGGGAAAAAACATAGACACCGATCATCGTCCATCCCCATGAAAACTATGGGAAAGTACGGGATGCGGGGAGAAGACGAAAGTCCAGAAAATATGATAGAATGTTGGGACTCCTGGGATTTGCGTGTGTGTGTGTGTGCCCCCAGCATTCAAACATTGTTGCTCTGGCAGCTCCATTCGAGCGAATATCAAGCGCAGTCGGTTGCACGATCCTCCAGTCGTTAAGCTTAAGTCGGGCCTGTCCCTCTACAGGGGGAAGATTCAAAAATTGTCAGAAAAATAGTCTGGGGACGACGTTTCCACTATTGCTGACTATTGTTATATATACACACACACATTGTACTCTTTAAATTGTTCCTCCAAGCTCCGCCTGTAGGAGGATATGCCCGACCTAACGTTAACCCTGAGAGTTGCGCAGGCGCGAGCCCCAGCTTGGAAGGAAACCGCCTCCCAGACAGACAGTAGCCGTGCGCCAGCCTATGGCACGGCGCCTTCCTTGTTGGGCAACCGTACACGTTTAGCATACATGCCTTTGTCTTCACAGGGTCCACAACGGCCCAAGAAGCCCCCCCGTATGGCCCCAAGACGGCACAAGAGGCCCCCAAGACGCCCCCAAGACGGCCTCGAGGTATTCAATGTTCGGCCATGTTCGACCCTCGACGGCCCAAGTCAGCCCCAAGAGCGCTTCAGAGGGCCCCAAGACGGCCTCGAGAGCGCCTTAGCTACCGCCACGACGGCCCCAGTGAGGCCCAAGAGGGCCCCAATTCGGCCCGAGAGCGCTCAAAGAGGGCCCAGGATGGCCCCAAGACGGCCACAGAGTCACTCAAGACAATTCACGAGGCCTCCAAAAGGACGTCCCAGAGGCAAACATCGTCCCTTTCCTCTGGGGGAACGTACATGTTTAGCATATCGGTCTGCTTCTTTGGCCTTCACGGTCACAGCGGCCAAAGAGACCCCCAGGATTCCCCCAAGACGGCCCAAGAGGCCCCCAAGACGGCCCAAGAGGATTCAAGAGGGTTCCAAGACGGCCCAAGAGGGCCCGAAGACGGCCCAGGAGAGGCCCTTGAGGGCCCCAAGAGTTTTCCAAGAGAGCTCCAAGAGGGCCCCGAGACGGCCCAAGCCCCCCAAGACGGCCCAAGAGGGCCCCAGGACGACCCAAGAGAGCCCCAAGACGGCCCAAAGGAGCCCCAAAAGGACCCCCAAATAGGCTTGGAGAGGCCACACTCATCGATGTTCGCAAGGTTTGTTGTTGACCTGTTGCATGAAGCACCAAAGTCTCAACACCAAGAGGGGTCCAAGACACTCAGCAAGCGATCCCGTGCCCTCACAGACTATGCGCGAGCTACGTCTTGGGGTCACCTTGGCCGTCTTAGAGGCATCTTAGGTTTTAGGACAGTCTTGGAGGCCATCTTGGCAGTCTTGGAGACA